GCCTCGGCCTCCCAGAGAGCTAGGATTACAGGCGTGAGCCACCGTGCCCGGCCCAACAACCTGATTTTAGATAATAGAGTATCATTAATATGGGCATTAAAATTATAGATGAATACTTTCATTTTGTGTAAATCAGAGGTTTCAAAGTTTGGAAAATAGACAACTGGAAAGAATTTTAGAACGATAGACATGAATTTTGGGTCATTCTTTTTTACTTTAGTAAATATATGAGCTAAGGTGAATTTCTCACCTTAATCTGGAAATGACAGGATTGGGCAAAATAGTATTTAAATTTTCTTCTAACTTCAAATTCTGTGATTTTGTGTTGTTCTGCAGAAGAGCTCTCCAATCAGAAAGAAGAAAACAAGGGAAGGAAGAGGGTTGCTTATTCTGGGTGAAGTAGCTTACTGGAATTTCACCAATACTATGCTAAAGTTTTTTGTACCAAGTTGCTACAGTGCTGAAGTAGTGTATGCCAATGAGAATAAATGCGATTGTTCTTCAATACAAATATGACCGTGTATCTAATTGAAACCCCTGAGACACTCTTTTTGCCCTATGGCATAATGTCTAAACTCCTTACCATGGCATTCTGGGCCCTTTAGCATTGACCTTTGCCTAATTCTCTGGTTTCATCTGTAACCCCTACTTCTCCTCAGTTTTGGCTCCTGCCATAATAAATCATTTACTGTAACTTGAACTGCTCTGATTTTTTCTCATCTCCAGGCATGTGTTTGCTCATATGTACTAACCTGCCTGAAATGCTGCTCCACTTCTTGTCTATCTAGTCTAAGATGGGTATTTCCTTCTCCCAACTTTTCTCTCCTCTCTCCCTCCATGGACAGGTGTATATACAATTCCATCTTTGTTGTCCCTATTGTACATTGTGCCATGCAGTGATCTCTACTTTGTCATTTCTCAATTTGCAACCACTTCCAGCTCTATTTTCCCTATTGGAGTGTGAGCTCTTTCAGGCAGAGGCTAAGCTTTGGCCACCTTCAGATCCCTTATGCCTTGCTCAGTGTTTGGCATATTCTAGGTACTCCATGAATGTTTGTTGAATGAATGATAAGATGATGCTCTAGGCTACCTGTTAGCTCTGAGTTAAGAATAAAGAGGTTCTTGGTGGCAAATGAAGTATGTAAGAAGAAGTGGAGGAAACCTTGCTGAAGGAATGTGGATGTTGTGGCCTCATTGCCTTTTTATTAGTAGTCATTGCAGGCAAGACTGTGTCTTAGGCTAGGCTTGGGGTAGGCCAAGAGAAGCATATGTATGTTTCACAACAAGTGGTATCTTAGATACCACACATGGAATATAAATGACATGCAGTAATATAATATATAAAATACAAACCAGATGGTAATAAAGCTATGCTAAAATAAAAAGAATTATCATCATTAGCAAACGGTACCATATTCTTGTGACTAGTGATTTAGTTTCAGTGGAGCATTAGCCATATCAGCATTGTTTTAATCTTATTGATTTTTAAATTTTATGTTAAATTTACAAATAGGCTTTAACTTTATAGTTCTATCAAAATTATAAGCAAATGGAGTTTGTATCTAGTTTCAGGTATGAACATATTAAATACCATTCGTATAAAATTATTAAAATCAATGCTAGAAGTTCCAACAAAGTTTTCAATTAATAGGAAGCAGGCTTGAGAAATGCTATCTTTCTTTGAAGAAATCTTTAGTGATGGGATTTCAGACATTCTCCTGGGGGAGTGATTTTGGGTGAAAAGGACTTTCTCAAATCACAGTTTCCTCTGTTTCTGGGAGGGGACATAGGTTTGGAGCTTTTTTTTTCCTGATAGACTCTTGGAAACAAACAAAGGTTACAAAACCAACTAAGATTGTATTTTCCCCTATGTCTACCAGAAAGAAACATTTAAGCCATTCTCTGAGGACCCTCTGAATGAAATTCAAATAGTCTGAAAATTATTTCAATAAGAGAAGAGTAACCACTGAGTATAAATCTAGTAACTGGTTTTCAGTAGATAACCTCAAGCAATAATTTGAAGGCAAACAGCCAGAAGTCTCCCCCCATCTCAGGTTTGGGGAGATATTTATTTTTAGGAGAAGAAAATAAACTGATAACAAACGTGAACATTAGCTGACTCATGAAAAATTCACTACACCAAATACATTATACTTAGTAAGGCTGGAAAGTAGATGATTAAATTATGAGCATTTTTTTCAATTATAAGACTTTAGAGGAAAAGCATGCGGCATGTTGTCAGGTCACCTGTGAATGGGGTTTATGTCCTCATCTATAAAATGGAAGCTAGAATAACAAGCTCTTTAGGACTTGGGGAAGATTACACAAGCTAATAAATGACATGCAAAAATTATCTAGTATAGATTAAGTGCTGCACAAATATCTTCCAATTAACCGAATAAAACAAACTGTGTTTCTGCAAGCACTAAATTTTAAAATGGTCTATTTATTAAAGCATATAATTTTATTGAGCAGTAAACATTTGAGTTCTTATTGTGTTTTAAGCTCTCAGCTAGCTGCTATTGGGATGACCAAAATATGGTGCTTGTCTGGACACATTCACACTCTTGAGAGAGAAAGAAAAGGGGTATAAACAGTCACATACAACTTCTATGATGGCAGTATGTGAGCACTGTTACCTTAGCATAGAAGAGCAGGTCACCGAGTCTCTTTATGTGAGTGGACTATAAAATGCAGAGTAAAGCTCTGCGGAGGAGCTAA